GGGCGGGGGAGGGGGGGGAGCTGCGTTTCCGGAGCATTGCGGGGGTCAGTGTTGAGTCCGTGTGCGTCCTCTCCGTGGTGTCGATAGTTTTGGGCGGGAAGGCCTCACCTAACCTCATCTCCTTTCTTCACGTCGTGCATTCAATAAAGAATGCGATTGCATCGCTGCCTTTTGTCCCTTTTTTTTTTCTTTGTCGTGATTGTAGGTATGCCGACATGTACAACAAGAACGGTCGGATCGGCATCTACACGCGGCAGGAACGCGAGGCCATTATCGCACGCTTCAAGCGAAAACGGGGGCGCAGGGTGTGGAAGAAAAAGATCAGGTACGGGGTTATCGCCGTTGCTACATGTAACGGTACTGCTCTCGAACTCACGGTTCTGCTGTACGTCTGTAGATGAGAGCAACGAAGGAAGCGGTGGGCATTGGTGCTTTGGAAGCCGTCAGTTGTTAGACAGGACGTGGTGCGTCCTTGCAAGAGTTGTCGTGACTGCTACTTTTATCTGTAGCATACGCCATGTCCCTGTCTTGCTCCAATAAAAATACGTTCAGGTTCGGAAACGAGAAACCAAAAATATCTTGTACTGTGTTTGCAAGATACTCCGAAACAAATAGATTTATAATGTAGTCTCCACGGACATCGATGCCCCCCTCCGCCCCCGCCCAGATACAACTGCCGCAAGAACTTGGCAGACAAGCGCCTCCGCGTGAAGGGGCGCTTCGTCAAGATGTCGCCGGAGCAGAGGGCCGCCCTCAAGCTCAAGCAGAAGGCCCTCAAGAGCGCCCGTGCCGCGGCTGTCGCGTCGGGAGCCACCAGGTGGGAGGGAGGGAAGGAGGGTGTGTGAGGGGGCTCTCCGGGGGTCTGGCTGTTTGTAGAATCTGCGGAGGGATGTGGGTGTCGTGTCGGTGTGTGTGGGCAAGGGGGCCCGCGGAGCGGAGCGAGATTTTATTACGTCTTGGCCCACCGCTGGTTCAAAGGTCAATCCGGGGAAGGGGGGTGTTTACACTTTACGAAGACTAGGATTGTGTGGTAGAATCTGTTGGTTGATTGGACCGCTTTCGCGGGATACATACCCCAACCCTACTAACTCTAAGGAAATAGAAAAAGGAGGGGGTACGCAGACCCTATTCCCTAACCCCAACCCTAACCCAACTTCCCCGATTGTATGCTTAACCCAACATGTTTACTTAATACAAAACCCCCAACTAACTCTAAGGAAATATAACAAGGAGGGGGTACGCAGACCGTATTCCCGAACCCCAACCCTAACCAAACTTCCCCGATTGTATGCTTAACCCAACATGTTTACTTAATACAAAACCCCCAACTAACTCTAAGGAAATAGAACAAGGAGGGGGTACGCAGACCGTATTCCCGAACCCCAACCCTAACCAAACTTCCCCGATTGTATGCTTTATCCAATATGTTTACAACATAATACAAAAACCTGCGAATGCTACTGGGTTGATTATATAATACAGGGTTTGGTAGTTGCTTTCAAACCTGTTCATTCACCTTTGATCGAACGCGTTTTAGAGAAGGAAATCGTGTTGCTGCATGTTAGCCCTGGCCCTACAGAAGAAATTTGGAAAACGCGGGGGCCAAAATGAGAGATCTTCGGCGGTTATAATGGGACGAGGGAATGTTCTGCCTCAAATTGGCGGTAGCACGCGGTAGGCGTGGCGAGGGACCTCAGGGGGAGGGACCCGTCTGGGTGAGCACGGGCGGGAGTTCGTATACGGAAGAAATGCCGTGGGTAGAAATATGAGCGGTGATTTATATAATGAAAAATATATGTCATCCAACACCCCCCCCGTCCCCCCGTATTTTGCAGCATGGACATGGAACTCCTTGGTGGCGAGGAGATGAGCAGTGAGACGGGGAGCGGGGAGACCGGGAGCGGAAGTGGCGTCACCGCCGAAGGCTTCGACGACGGTTCGGAAGAAGCGGAGGACGCGATGGTCGAGGAAGAGGAGGAGGAGGAAGAAGAAGAGGAGGAGGAGGAGGAGGAGGAGGAAGAGGAAGAGGAAGAGGCCAACGCGAGGCGGGGAGTGTCGCCGAAGGAACCTCTCAAGCGCGTCCGTCGGCACAGCATTGCGTACTGAGCTGGGTGACCGCCTAGCCCGGCAGCCTACTTTGGCCATGTGAAAAAACAATCCTC